TTGACCAGGATGGTCTCGATCTCTTGACCTCGTGATCCACCTGCCTCGGCCTCCCAAAGTGCCAGGATTACAGGCGTGTGCCTGGATATTTAATCCCAAGGGAAACGTTTACAGCTGATCAGGAGAAAGGAGGTCATAATTCAAATTATTTTTTTTAAGTACATACATACAATTTTATTTTTTTTTTGAGACCGTCTCACTCAGTTGCCCAGGCCGGAGTGCAGTGGTGCAATCTCAGCTCACTGCAACCTCCGCCTCCTGGTTTCAAGTGAGCCTCAGTCTCTGTAGCAGCTGGGACTACAAGCATGTGCCACCACATCCAGCTAATTTTTGTATTTTTTTTCTTTTTTTTTTAGTAAAGACAAGGTTTCGTCATGTTGGCCAGGCTGGTCTCAAACTCCTGACCTCAAGTCATCTGCCTGCCTCAGCCTCCCAAAGTGCTGGGATTACGGGTTTGAGCTACTGCACTGGGCACATACATACTTGTTTAAAGTCTGAGGAAGAAATTCCCCCAAATAGAACTACTTTTACAATGAAAATGCCGGAAGTCAACCATATTGAGGTACAACTGAAAATATAATGCACTCTTTGTAGAGTTTTTCTTTTTTTTTTTTTTTTTTCTATTTTTCTTTTCTTCTGTTTTGAGACAAAGTCTTGCTCTGTCGTCCAGGCTGGAATGGTTCAATCTTGACTCACTGCAACCTCCGCCTCACAGGTACAAGCAATTTTCCTCCTGTCTCAGCCTCCAGAGTAGCTGAGGACTACAGGCTCACGCCATGATGCCCGGCTAATTTTTGTGTTTTTAGTAGACACGGGGTTTCACCATATTGGTCAGGCTGGTCTCGAACTCCTGATCTCAGGGATTACAGGCCTGTGCCACGGCGCCAACTGTTCCATTATTAGAAGGTGAAAAGAATTCTGGAGATGGATGGTGATGACATTTAAGGCAACTTTCTAAGTGCATTCATTCCTCTGCACTGCACCTTTGGAAGTGGTGAGGATGGTAAATTTTACGTTATTTATGTTTAAACACAATGAAACAAATGGAAAAAGAAAAACGTATCTATTAATGCTTATTTAAAATTCAGACACAATTTACTCTAGAATTTAATATAAATGACTCTGAAACAAGCACAAAACTGCACCTTAATTTTAAGGGAACAGCTCAGTGAGTGTTGACAAATGTCACTGGCTATTTATTCACCGCCACCGTAGAGAGAGGATATTTTCCTCTTCTGTTTACCCTTTTCCAGTGAATCTCCATCCAACTTTTTGTCCCTATATATCTTCTTCCAGACTCGCCATTAAATTTTAAAACAAGTAATAAATGTAGCACAGATCGCCAGAGAGCAGCATTTCCACAGATAACAGCAGCCACCCCTCTGTTACGCGCTTCACATGTGCCCAGCAGTCTCTAGCTTGTACATACTGATCGCCTGATAGATGGGGATGCCTCTTCTAATGCTCCTATTAACCCTGTGAATTAGGCATTCCTTTTGCTGTTTTACAAATGAGAAAATGGAATCTCAAGGACGTCTTCCGTTTTCTACCCTGTCATAGTCTCTGCCAATTTCTGGGCTAGCTGGGTGGCCTCATTTTGGAATAACGATGCATAGGGGGAAGAATGGGTGTTGGTGAATTAGAAAGTCTTGGGGGAAATAGTGCATGTTCTAGCAGGTTCTAGCAAAAATACTGGGCTGAGATTCAGAAGCCGCTGGGTCTCAGCCTCTGCGTAGCCAAGGACCAGCTGTGGGGTGTGGCCTTGATCACCTCGGCGTCCACAGCTCTCTTCATCCCACGCTATCCTGCAGTTCTTATTTTCTGATAAAGATTTTTATCACACCCAGAAGTTTCTCCAACGACAAAATCATTTTCAATCACAAGTTGGGGGCAGGGGGTTTGGGAGGGGCTCCAGGGAGTGCTTATGTAGCAGAATGCACATTTGACAGCCTAACGTACATTTCTAACTGTAAAATTAAAGGAAAACTATTGTTTTCATAATGTAAAACTTGGAGGTGAAGCCAAACAAGGTTTTACTTTTTTCTTAGACGTTGGGACATGGGTTCAGAAATAATGGAAGTCACTCATTTGCCACAATCAGGAAGAGGGAACCTCTACGCCCTCAGATAGAAGAAGGAAGACCCCCGAGAAAGGATTTACAGTTCTACAGGGCACTTAAAGAAAAAGTAATAGCTAACTTCAAATCCAGAACAAAGCCACCAAGCCAAGTCCTTCTGGAGACCTGGGTGGGAGACCCCATGCCCCCGCCTGGGTGAGCAGGACATCGGGGTGCCTCAGATTCTACTCGCCATTGCCCATGTCACTCAATGAATGAAACGCCACCTGAAGCAAATCAAATGCAACCTGAAAAGCGAAGTCAGCCCAGTGCAGCCCACTGGTGGCTTCAGGGGCCCCGGGGTGCACAGAGCAGCCCAGGAGGAGGACCTCAGCCCTCAGCACACCTCCACTCTCACCTGGAGAGCCCCCTGCTGGCCAGCACTGCCTTGCCCTCTGCCCGCTTGGCTCACTCCAGCCACACACACCAGGGAGCCCAGCAAACACCCAGGCTTGGGTACCGGGTCCACCTGGGGCAAACCCTCGAGGCCTGGCCATCCATCTCTGTAATTTGAAGCTTCTCACCTGAGCAGAATCCATCCCCTAAGTCCTCAGAGCAGTGCTGTGCCTGTGAAATGGCCAGTACACAGTGGACCTCAAGGCCTGCCATCACTACCTTCATAAGCTCTACATCCCAGGCCCTCTCTGTTCCCTCTTCCTTGTGACCCTCAGGACAAGTCTGAGAGCAAGCTGAGAGGGCAACAGGCCAGCAATCACAATCTGCCCAGGGCGTGGCCACAGTGGGTCTGACCTGGGGAGCCCCTGTCCCGGGATGAGACTAGCACAGCCTGGATTTACAAGCCCCGCTGTTTGGGTTCAAATTCCAACTTCACCACTCACAGGGTGTGCGACCTTGGGTCACTCGGCCACTTTTCTGGGGCCCCCATTTCCCTCCTGCTCCATGGGGGAGTGGGGAATAGAATCCCGTGGGGGTTCTTGTGAAGGCTTGAGCTGAGAACATCCAATCTTCAGTGATTACACGAATGTGCTCAGAACAGCGCCTAGGGCACAGAGGCCGCCTTCGTCATTTCCCCACGCTCCCTGATCACATGGGTCACTCTCTTCCCCATGTCCCTGGAAAGGGCTGTGGATGGGTAGGGGTGGAACCAGAGGCTGCCATCGCCCCCACCGTTTTGGGTCGTGTCCCCTAGTGCAGCCTCTGCCATCGCCCTCAAGAGCATTTATCTCGCATTTACTACGGATCTTTAAAACGAAAGCTGCAGGGGAGGATAATTCACTTTAATAGGAGCCGCCGTCGATTTAAAGCCACAGGGGGGAAGTATAGATTTAACAGAAGCCGCGGCTTTCTGAACCAAGACACGCAGCGTGAGGGTCCTCGGTCCAGAAAGCCTTTGCGATGATGTCTTTTTGTGAAGACTTTCCTGGTGACATTTGCTGCGCCCTCAGTCATTAACGCCAGTCACTGACTGGAGGATGAATGTGGCCTCTGCTCATTGAAATTCATTAGGTCTGGCATTTCTCTTGCTGTCTCTCCCGTTCCCTCCCCATCGCCTGTGCTGTGAGCTGGGCCAGGAGAGCTCTGCCCCAAAACCCCAGCTCCTGGGGCCTCACATCCAGGATCTGGGGGTTTGGAAGAATAACAAGAAATAATTATAGAGTTAAGCCAAAGACCCCTGGACGACCCCTTTAGTCCACGCCAGGGTGTTCTCTGGATGTCGTTTTATTTGCAGGAACCACTCCGTGGAGTGCGCCCTGTTTCTTTCTTCACCTGGCACCTGTGTGGACGCCAGGAGCGCTCATCACGTTCCCTCATCCACTTCCTGACCCCTCTCCACCAGGTAAGGCGCTCCGGACCTCCCCGACCGTGCTGCTCCCCTCATCCCGCGCGCAGGGACTCGGGAACTCAAGCACCAGACCCCCGACACAAGACAGCTCAAAAACCGGGAAACGGAGGCCCAGGTCTCCCTCTTCGAGCCCCCGCCTCCACCACCCTCCAGCCGAGAAGCTGGGGTTCAGTCCCGCCGCTGACCCGCCCACCCTTCCCGAGAGCCTCCTTCCCAGTGCCCCCTTTCAGGTTGCATCCCGGCACAGCCGCGGGGCCCGGGCGAGAGCGGAGCAGGCAGGGGCGCGCGGCCAGGAGCGCAAAGCCCAGGCCTACGCCGAGGCTGCGGCGCCACCTACAGCCCGTGCGGCTCCCATTGTTTCCCCGCCAGCGCCGAGAGCGCGCCGGGCCCCCCGTCGGGGGGCAATTAACCCGGATAAAAGGGGCGGGGCAGGAATTGCAGGAAGATAAAGCCGAGAGAACCTGAGAGTGGTCGGAACTGCGGGTGGAATTCTATTGGACGCCTTTGGAATCAGATGTGCGGGGCTGAGAAAGTGGCGCGGTGGGGCCGGGGCGGGGGGCGAGAGGCCTTTTAAGAGGAAGGGCCCTAAGGCCGAGGTGAGGCTTTTCCCGACAGAGGATAAAGGAGGCGAAGCTCGGGGGCCCCCCAGCCACTGACCCCGGGGTTCCTGACCCCGCCCTTGCTAGTGCCCCGCGCCGAGCTCATCCACTGGGAGCCCCAGGCCTGGGGGAGGGGCCCCAGTGGTCGATTGCTTTACAGAATCAAACTCTCCCAGCCGAGAACCTCGGGCCGTTGCCCGGTGAGGAGTTCCCCGAAACCCGGCCGCTGAGCGAGGCCTCCTCCTCCAGCAGATCGGAACTGCCTGGGCGGGGTCACCCCGGCTGGGACGAGAAGCCGCCGCCTGCTTGACTGCCGCGGGTCCCGGGGGCGGGGGGGGGCTGGAGCCGGAGGCGGAGTGTGAGTGGGTGTGTGCGGGGGGCGGAGGCGTGATGCAATCCCGATAAGAAATGCTAGGGTGTCTTGGGCACCTACGCGGGCCCCGTAAGGCGCTATATAAGGCTGCCTGCCCGGGGCTGCCGAGCCGTCGGAGCAGGAGTGCTGCGTCCAGGATCGCCGGCCACGGCCATCCCAACCCGGCACTCGCAGCCCCGCAGCGCATCCGGGTCGCATCCCTGCCTCCCGCACCCCAGTCGCCGGAGCTGCGCTGAGTGCTCCAGGGAGGTGCCATGCGGAGTGGGTGTATGGTGGTCCACGCCTGGATCCTGGCTGGCCTCTGGCTGGCTGTGGTCGGGCGCCCACTCGCCTTCTCGGACGCGGGGCCGCATGTGCACTACGGCTGGGGCGACCCCATCCGCCTGCGGCACCTGTACACCTCCGGCCCCCACGGCCTCTCCAGCTGCTTCCTGCGCATCCGCACCGACGGCGTCGTGGACTGCGCGCGGGGCCAGAGCGCGCACAGTGAGTGCCCGCTGGGACCTCACCCCCGCCCCGCCGCGCGCACCCCACCCCAGCGCCGTTCCTTCCTTTGCCACCTTAGGCTCCCGAGGACCCCTCAACTCCTAGGAACCCCAAGTTTTGATACCTGAGAGTTAGAATCCCCCCCTTAGTCCCCAAACAGCGCGGGACACTGGAGAGAGGCACAGGCTCGTGGACCGACCCCACCCACTTGGTGCGGGCCCCACGGGTCCAGGCTGCAGCTTCTCGCTCTCCCTGCGCCCAGGTTTGCTGGAGATCAAGGCAGTGGCACTGCGGACCGTGGCTATCAAGGGCGTGCACAGCGTGCTGTACCTCTGCATGGGCGCCGACGGCAGGCTGCAGGGGCTGGTAAGTGTCCCTACGGGGAGGATGCCCCGGGACAGGGGATCGACCACTGTCCCTGGGCAGAGGCCTGAAGGGGAAAAAGGTGCTGGTTCGAATCCAGGGTTTCCTCACCTCCTCCCAGATCCGTGTGTAGCTTCGAGGGAAAGATTGCAAGGATCGACTAAGCGCATGTCCCACGATTTTCTACGGAAATTTAGGGTCTCAGCCAGTAGCTGGAGAAGAGGCAAAAGCTGCCTTTGCATTTCCAGTTGAGCCAAAGGCCGGCCCAGCCGGACCGAGGAAACCCGTTATTCGGCCTCCTTTGATATTAAGCATGAAAACCCACCTCGGGGCTTTTTCAGCCTCTGCCTGCGCGTGTGTGGTCCTCGCCTCCGTTTCCCTCCCTCCGGCATAAAAATAAGAAAAAAAGAACAGAAAAGAAAAAAGAGGGTCTATCCACAACTTTCATTTAAGAACAAATCGATTGTCAAGTAAGGCAGAAGACAGGGCATTGGGAATGGGCGAGTTTTTTTTAAATGAATTTGTAATCCACCAGGAGCATGGTGTGGCTCAGCCGCAGATGCGCTGGAGTCACGTTCCACCCGAGGACCGCTTTTCCTCCCGCGGGCCTCACCTGTCCTGTCAACGCTTTCTGGTGGGGGCGGGGGTGGGGGCTGGCTGGGAAGGCCCAGGTAACCGCAGAGGTTCCCGCCGGAAGTGTATGAGCGCTGGGGCTCTGATGGCCGGGAACAAAGGCTGGGAGTTCAAAGGAACGAACCGGCGCCCCTCCCGCGGCCCCGCGCGCAGGGGAGGCTGTGTGAGGTCTGGTCCGCGCAGGCCTCACACGCAGCCCTGGGCTCCCTGGCCGCCCCTGCCCGGGCCCCCCACCCCCAGAAAGGATACAGAGGTGGGGCCGCCTCCGGCCCAACCAGCTTCTTTGTGAACCGTGGGACAAAGCATTTTAGAGTCTCCAAATTGCTCGGTGCTTGTGCGGTGCTCCCTGTATTCAGAGTGCCTGTTTCAGATTTTATGGCGGAGCCCGGCGCTAGAAAACTGCAGGGAAAGGGGGTGGTCGGCCCGCTGAACTCTGACTCCCACCCAGAGCCGCTCAAACCCACCCTTGCAACTTTAATTATGACATTTGTCATTGGGGGGGCTCCTAATGATGGGAGGGCAGGAGGGGACGTCAACCTAACCGGCCATTCTGTCCAAATTGGGGATGAGGGCGCAGATCACCTAAAATCCCTTTGTGCCTTTTTTTTTTTTTTTTTTTTTTTTTTTTTGAGAGTCTTTCTCCCTCACCCAGGCTGGAGTGCAGTGGCCCAATCTCAGTTCACTGCAACCTGTCCCTTCCGGGTAGTGTTTCTCCTGCCTCAGCCTCCCATGGAGCTGGGATTACAGGTGCCCGCCACCATGCCCAGTTAACTTTTTTATTTTTAGTAGAGACAGGGTTTCACCATGTTAGCCAGGCTGGTCTCGAACTTCTGACCTCAAGTGATCCGCCTGCCTCAGCCTCCCAAAGTGCTGGGATTACAGGCATGAGCCACCGACCTGGCACCGTTGTGCCTCTTGATCCACTGTGCATGGTCTAACATGGATTGAGGATCTTTTTCTTTCTTTTTTGAGATGGAGTCTCAGTCTGTCCCTCAGGCTGGAGTGCAGTGGCCTGATGGCTCACCGCAACCTCCGCCTCCTGGGTTCAAGAAATTCTCCTGCCTCAGCCTCCCAAGTAGCTGGGACTACAGGCACACACCACCATGCCCAGCTAATTGTTTGTATTTTTAGTAGAGATGGGGGTTTCATCATGCTGGCCAGACTGGTCTTGAACTCCTGACCTCGTGATCTGCCCGCCTCAGCCTCTCAAAGTGCTGAGATTACAGGCATGAGCCACCACACCCGGTCACTTTCTTTCTGAAATAGAAATTCCACATTCTTCTAGAAGCTTGAAGTCATTTCATTTTTGTATGGAGAAAGTGATACTAATCCCTCCCGAAGGACTAGCTGAGTAAATAGAAGCAGGTCTCCAGTCATTCGGTTTTCTGTTCCTTATTTATCAGTGGGTATTTCTGGGAGTTTGGGAGAAATGGTTCGTGCTGTCTGGTGCTTCGTCCCAGCTGTCCGTGGGCTCGGCAGGAGCCTGGTTGCTGCAGTGCGTCTCTTATCAGGAGCTTATCGGCACAGGCACATCCTCACTCACCTGCAGTTCAGTGACCTTTGCAGACTTAGGCAGAAACCTGACTGAGGCCGGCCTGCCGTGTGTTCACTGCCTGTCCCGGGTCGTCCAGGGGTCACGACACCAGTGTGGGACTGCACTTGCCCACTGGCACCTCTCAACCCCGTGGACTATGAGTGTTCTAAGACCAGGCACTGGCTTCCCTCAGCACACATTTCCGGCCACCAGCTGGGTGCCTGCCTGGCCTGGCCTGGCCTGGGGGAGGGGCTGCTGAGATCTGGCTCCTAGCCCAGGGCCTGGAAGGCCCTTGGTGACTAAATGGAGGAGACAGGAGGACTGATGGTTCCTAGAACTGCTGCCGACCAGAAGGCCTTAGAATGACAAAGGCACACAGCGATTTCTGAGACAGGTGGGGAATCCACGCGTTAGTCCAGGCTCCAGATCGGATCACACGTCATTTAAAAGACCTGTCCTGAGGTGATAACCCGGTGTTTCCGTGTTTCCCAAAGTGCCAGGGAATACCCAGGAGCTTTTTAAAGGCCAGGAGTTATGTATTTAACGCAAAGGGTAAGGGAAACATGGACAGCACTGCTGTGAGCTGATGGATATTATTGCTCAGGATAAGACTCTTGAAAAAGTGAGATGATTTAGTGGAAATTACTTGGGTCTATATGTAGTATATATGTAGTATTACATATATGCATAAAATATACACATGTGAAATACATACCTCAATTTTGTGTGTGTGCATGTATATATATAAAGATTATAAAGAATGTACAAATATATATAAATGTATATTTAATGTGGGACAAAGAATTATATTAATTTATATAGCATTATATAATGTAATGTGTACATTATATTAATGTTATGTTAATATAATGTACATATTATATATACTTACAGGTACAGTACATGTTTTATATGATTGTTGTGTTTATGTGTATGTATATATATTTACATACACACACACCTATATATATACATATGCATATATATATATGGGGTTTTTTTTTGAGACAGGGTTTTGCTGTGTCACTCAGGCTAGAGTGCAGTGGCATGATCATTGCTCTCTGCAGACCTGACCGCCCCCGCCCCAGACTCAACCCATCCTCCCACCTCTCAGCCTCTCCAGTAGCTGGGACTACAGGCTCCCACCTCCATGCCCCACTACTTTTTGTGCTTTTTGTAGAGATGGAATTTTACCATGTTGCCCAGGCTGGTCTCAAACTCTGGTTCAAGTGATCCACCTGCCTGGGCCTCCCAAAGAGCTGGGACTACAGGCATGAGCTACTGTGCCTGGCCTCAAAATAGACTGCATAGCATATATATTTATACATGTAAAGGCATGTTTTATATATACTTACATATACAGTGTGTATATCGGCAAGCATATATAAAGCATGTAAGTGACGCTCATGTGGAAGGCCACCGCTGGTGGCCAGCAGGGACAGTCCGAAGCACAAATGTCCACATGTCCCCATGTTCCTCGTCCTCTGTGGATTGCTCAGAGCTGCCTGTTTTCTCTGCAGCTCCAGTACTCGGAGGAAGACTGTGCTTTCGAGGAGGAGATCCGCCCTGATGGCTACAATGTGTACTGGTCCGAGAAGCACCGCCTCCCGGTCTCCCTGAGCAGCGCCAAACAGCGGCAGCTGTACAAGAAACGAGGCTTTCTTCCACTGTCCCATTTCCTGCCCATGCTGCCCATAGCCCCAGAAGAGCCTGAGGACCTCAGGGGACACCTGGAATCTGACGTGTTCTCTTCACCCCTGGAGACTGACAGCATGGACCCATTTGGGCTTGTCACGGGACTGGAGGCGGTGAACAGTCCCAGCTTTGAGAAGTAACTCAGGCCAGGCCCAGGACCCCTCACTGCTGCCAGGGACTGTGGAACTGGCAGAGTGGAGGCCATGCATCTATAAGAACCGTCCTGAGTCCACACTCTGTGTAGCGTTAGGAAGAAACATCTAGAAGTTGTACATATGCAGAGTTATCCATTGGCCGTGCCAGTTTCTAGCCGATAGACTTGTCTGATCATAACATTGGAAGCCTGCTGCCTGCCCAGCTGCTGCCCAGGCCCCCATCCCACTCCCCCGAGGCTGCGGGACAAGCTGCTATGCTTGAACACCTGCCCTGATGGGGAACTTACTTCCTCTGGAAAAATTCCTATGTTGAGCTGCAATTCTCTAATTTTTTCTCATCACTTCCCCAGGGGCAGCCGGGAGACAGGCAGTGGTTTTAATTTCAGGAAGAGGTGATCAGCTCCGTAAAACAGCAGGTACATTTCACTCAATCCCATGTGGGAATTGATCTAGATCTCAACTTCCAGGGACTGTTTGCCCTTCCCGAACCCTCCAGGCCAGAACTGACTGGAGCAGGCATGGTCCACCAGGCTTCCGGAGCAGGGCAAGCCCAGAGCCCCACTCCAGCCGTGGGATGCCTGAGAAGTCCCCCTAAGGTCGGTTCTGCTGTGGACTACAAACTTCCCTGGGCTACTCATTAGTCTGCCCCAAGAAAGATAAGATCATTCTCCTCCTTTCCTTCCTCTTGTTAGACACCATCATACTGTATATAGCTGACTCGTGCCGGGCTCAGAGCTGGTTCCCCTAAGGTGGACGGTGGAGCTGCCACCTTTGCCTCCAGCTCAGAGGGACGGGCAGTAAGGACAGCCAGTCCCAGCCATGGTGACATGGGGTTTCCAGGGAATGGGATCTGCCCAGCTCGTGTGGATGTAAGGGGCACTCTGGTATGGAACCCACAGGCCTGCACCCCTTCCTAAATCTCCCCCACTTCACCTGGGGTCTCTCCCTCCTTTCGTGAGAGCTGTGGACGCTGTCCTGAGAATGACTGCCGTCCCAGGTGTCACTGCTTCCACCTCCTGGCCCACCTGGCCCTCTACCATCCCCACACGTCTCCCCGTGGACTGGGACTTCCTAGGCCCCTGCTTTATATCAGCTTGCACTTCTCATTCAAAAATCACGAAAAGAAAAGGTTTGCAGACCTCAAGTCTTGCCAGCGGCTTGCGGTGCGGAAGCAGTGGGGAGAGACTTCCACCTTTTCCCCAGCACTTGGTTTTCCGACATGCTATTTATGAGTAATTTATTTTGATATGTACATCTCTTATTTTCTTATTATTTATGCCCCCAAATTATATTTATGTATGTAAGTGAGGTTTGTTTTCTACATTAAGACGGAGTTTGTTTGTATCAAAAGTCGCATTCTGTTATCTGCCTGGAATGTTGGGGAGGGCGCGGAAGGGGCTGGTGGGGGCAGCGGCGTCCACAGCAGGAAACCCTTGATGTGTTTGCCCCTTGACACCAAAAGCTCGGGTGAGAAGTTCACCAGGTTTGGGCTAGCCAGCGCTGGTGCTAGAGGCTGGTTCGGGCCCTGCTGTCCTGCCCCTTCCTCATGCCTAGGGGCTTGGCTTCCTCAGACCACCTTCCGTTTAGCCATCTCAGTGGTCAGGGCGGCCTCTCCGCCAGGAGTGTTTTAGGCTGCAGGAAACAAACACCAAGGAACAAAGAACTCTCGCCCTCCACCCTCTTCACTGCGAGGAGGTGCTCCTGCAGCCCCCACCCACTAGATGCCCATAGCAACCCCCAAGTTTCGGGGACCAAAATACCTCCAGAAGTTCTTGCACGTCCTTGGGGGGCAAAATCACCCTTGACAGAGGACAACTGGCCTGAGCAGATAGGATGGTTTTTGTCCAGCAACAAATCCAGAGGGACCCAATGGCCCGGCGATGCCCAGGCTGTGCCCTCTGAGCTTCCCTTGATGTCTCTGTCATGCTGTGGCCTGGTCTCCACAGGGCTGAGCTCTCTGTCCTCAGGGAGAGGGAATCATTTCACCTGGGCCTCTCTCACCAAGAAAGCCAAAACTTCTTTAGAACCTTTCAGCAAATTCCGGTTACATCCTAGGAGCCAGGCTTGCATCACAGTGCCAGGCCAGCCCCAGCTGCAAGGCAGGCTGGGAAGACAAGAATTAGTGGTCAGGGTGACCAGGTGTGGGTCCACATCCTGAGTAGGAGCAGGTGCAACCGCAGACCAAAGTGTGCGTGAAACGTGATTCTAAGCGACCATTTGCCAGGGATGAGGGCTGCTGGAGAGGCCCGGGAGGAGGGTTGGGTCACTCATGTCAGTAGTTCCCAGGTGCTTCCATGGGCAGTGAGGGGGATAAGGTCGTTGCTCAGGCCTACGAAGCCCACTTCGGATAAGCCTCCCAGCCTTCCAGCAAAGGGGCCCTCATTCTTACTGATGACACTCCCAGGACACCCAGAGTTGACCCTTGGGCCATTCCCTGTCTCCATTTGCCAATCAAGATGCCCTCTCGTCCAGGCACAGTGGCTCATACCTGTAATCCCAGCACTTTGGGAGGCTGAAGCAGGCAGATCACAAGGTCAGGCATTTGAGATGAGCCTGGCCAACATGGTGATACCCCGTCTCTACTAAAAATACAAAAAAATAGGCTGGGCATGGTGGCATGCACCTGGTAATCCCAACTACTTATGAGGCTGAGGCAGGAGAATTGCTTGAACCTGTGAGGCACAGGTTGCAGTGAGCAGAGACCGCGCCACCATACTCCAGCCTGGGCGACAGAGTGAGCAAGACTCTTTCTCAAAAAAACAAAGATGCCCCTATCAGTCTTTGAGCCCCTCGCCACATGGCCACGCAGACTGGAGAGCTGGCAGGCAGGGCTGGATGACACTTGTGGGCACAGCCTTCTCTATGTTTGGCAAGGCCAGACACCAAAGGCACTCTCTTGGAGCCACGCAGGCTGGGGGCAGCACAGGGGCTGTGGGCAGTGTTCTGCCCACATGAGGCCCTGCCCTGCGGACGCCATTTCAGTGGCTTCCTCTGTAGCCCCATCATGCAGACCCTGTCCTGCTGCGGACATGAGGTAAACAGGGTCTGCATGGTGGGACTACAGAGGAAGCCAGTGAAATGGTGTCCGCATGACGCCTGGCACAGAGCTGGCTGCCTACCCACAGCAGCCCTCGCCAAGGATACAGCCAGCTGTCCAGAGTTATGTCCACTGGTTCTCAAATTTGGCTGCACACTGGGGTCACCTCGATAAAAATAAAATGTCTGGAACCCACTCATGGAGATTTTGTTTTTGAGGCAGTCTTGCTCTGTTGCCCAGTCTGGAGTGCAGGGTGCAATCTCAGCTCACTGCAACCTCCACCTTCTGGATTCAAGCAGTTCTCTGCCTCAGCCTCCTGAGTAGTTGGGATTATAGGCACGCGCCACCACACCCGGCTAGTTTTGTATTTTTAGTAGAGACGGGGTTTCACCATCTTGGCCAGGTTGGTCTTGAACTCCTGACCTCGTAATCCACCCGCCTCGGCCTCCCAAAGTGCTAGGATTACAGGCGTGAGCCACCACACCTGGCCGATTCTGGGTTTTTGTTTTTCTTTTTTCGTCTTGTTTTTTGAAACAGTCTTACTCTGTCATCCAGGCTGGAGCGAGGTGCGATGTCACCGAACGCCGCAGTCTTCACCTCCCGGGCTCAGGTGATCCTGCCGCCTCAGCCTCCCAAGTAGCTGGGACCAAAGACCCATGCCCAGCTTGTTTTTTCAAAAAAAAAAAAAAGTTGTAGCAATGGGGTCTTGCTATGTTGCGCAGGCTGGTCTCGATCTCTTGGGCTCAAGTGGTCCTCCTGCGTGACCTCCTAAAGTGCTGGAATTATAGATATGAGCCACTGTGCCTGGCCAAGACTCTGATTTAATGGGAATGGGTGTGGTCTGGACATCGGAAAATTTTTAAAAGCTCCTCGCAGTTCTAATGTGCAGGGAACCAGAGGGAACCAGTTCAAATTCCATTTTTGTGCTCTGAAGACCGGCACCTCAGGTATTCCCCATGCTCCTGCACCTCCTACTCACTTCAACACTTTGAGTGAGGCACAAGAACCTTACCTCTACTTAGGTCTCTCCTCTCTCCACTTTTTTCTTTTTTTTGAGACAGAGTTTCACTCTTGTTACCCAGGCTGGAGTGCAATGGCGCGATCTCGGCTCACCGCAACCTCCACCTCCTGGGCTCAAGCAATTCTCCTGCCTCAGCCTCCCGAGTAGCTGGGATTACGGGCATGCCCCACCATGCCCAGCTAATTTTTTGTATTTTTAGTAGAGACGGGGTTTCACCATGTTGACCAGGATGGTCTTGGTCTCTTGACCTCGTGATCCACCCGCCTAGGCCTCCCAAAGTGCTGGGATTACAGGCTTGAGCCACTGTGCCCGGCCCACCTCTCTCCACTTTTAAAGTATCATTACATTATCGGGGGAAAATGAAGAAAGAGCCTTATCAGCACCGCTGTCTCTGGAGTCTTCTTTCTTCTGCACAGCGAGGATAATTAGTGAATGCGTGGCTTCATGAACTAATTCACACTAGAGTGTTGATGGTTACTATGTTTGCTCTCTAGGCCACATTGTTACTGACCTGGCAGCTGCGAAGCCCTGATGACAGACTGTGGGTGATGCAGGCATCCTGGCAGGAGCCGGGGAAGGTGGTTTTTCTGAGGCTACATCTTAGCAGCCACCCTCCCCTACCCTTCCTCTGCTCCCCATAAAGAGGCAGCCTTGCTTCCTTCCTGCACCCCTGACCCTGCTTTAGATAGCACTGCCAAATAAATAAAGATACAGCACCCAGAGCTAAATCTGAATTTCAGATGAGCAGTGCATTTCTTTAGTAGGAATATAGCCTGTGCAGTATTCGGAACATGTGCACACTAAAACGTTACTTGTTGCTGATCTGAAATTCAAATGGAATCGGGTGTCCTGTGTTTTCTCTGGCAAGCCTAGCTTTAGGCCCACACCACTGACCTGGAGTTAACAACAAGAGAGGAAGGGGGCAAAAGTCTTTCTGTTGAACAAGCCTCTCCGCTGGTGAGAATCCAAAATGGAACTGAAAAGATCCCCTGGGCAGGGAGGCCTCGAGTGAATCCCACTGTTTCTTTGGGCCTGTTTCTCCATCTGTAAAGTGAGAGCCCTTTCATCGCCTCAAGGCCTGTTCACTCCTGGAGATTCTGGCAAAGCGCCCAGGAGCTGGGCAAGGCCTCTCATCCAAGAAGGCTGGAACCCAATACCCTGGCATTAGGACTCTCATGGTTGCAAGTGACTGAAAACACAACTCAGGCCGGGGGTGGTGGCTCACGCCTGTAATCCCAGCACTTTGGGAGGCTGAGGTGGGCAGATCACGAGATCAAGAGATTGAAACCTTCCTGGCCAACATAGCGAAACCCCGTCTACAAAAATTAGCCGGGCGTGGTGGCACACACCTGTAGTCCCAGCTACTCAGGTGGCTGAGGCAGGAGAATCACTTGAATCCTGGAGGAGGAGGTTGCAGTGAGCTGATATCGTGCCAATGCACTCCAGCATGGTGACAGACAAGACTGTCTCAAAAAGAAAAAAAAAGAAAAATACAACTCAAATTGACTTGAGGTGGGAAAAAAAGGGAACTTACTGGCTCACCTTACTGAAAAGGCCAGCTGGTGCCAGGCTTTAAGGGTATGGGATCTGGCCGCTGGCACGACACCAGGCATCAGCTGTCTGTCAGTTTTCAGATAATCTTTTCCCTTTGTGGTGACAAGTTGGCTCCAGCAGCCGCGGAGGAGATGATGGCCAATTCTCTTCTCTCACCAACAACTCTGGCAAGTGCCCCGGATTGGGTCTCAGGGATCCTTCCTATGTCCCTTGTTCATCCCAGCTGGGCACAGAAGGCTCTGACTGGCTGGGCTGTGTCCCCTTCTGCCACCCAGGGAAGAGTCAGCCCCCAAGGGATTCGAGGACTAAGCTGGGAGAGACACTTCCCCAGAGGAAAACCCAGGGCACGGGTATTCCCCAAGCTCCCACAGTTCAGCATCCACTGGGCAAGCTTCCCTCTTGGGATTGGCAAAGGCCAGCCAGACGTGTTCTCTAAGACCAAAGAGGAGAGTCAGTGGGTGGGGACAGGGCCAGCCCAGATGCAGGAATTGTCCATTCAGTTACGGAGGGCAGAGGACAGCACCCTTCCTGCCTTAGTCTCACACTCCCTCCCCCACTGTCAAGGTGACTAAAAAGGAATTCAGTTAGGGGAGTGGGGTGAGAAGGTATACCTTTGCTACCAGAGGCAAAGAAAGAGACAGAAAGAGAGAGAGAGAGAAAGACAGATGGACAGACACTGGGTGTTTTGATACAGCCATGCACGCTATGATGATGACCTGTTCCTGGTGGCCA